CATTAATCCTCATGGCAGACTGAAGCTCAGGAACCCTTCTGTGGAGGCATCCTGGTACTGTGGAAAGGGCATTGGTGGGAGACAAATAACCAGGGTTCACTTTTTGCCTTTGACATTCTGTATGACCTTGGGCATGACCCTTAGGGCCCTGAGGGCATGCCTCAGTTTTCTCTTCTGTAAAATAACAGAATTGGGCTAAATGGCCTCTAAAATCCCTTTGAGCTCAAGATCCATTACCCATTGTGTCTAGAAGATGGCTGCCCAAGGACCATGAATTTGGCCTAATATTGAACTAGTTAGCTAAGAAGTTTATACCTTAAAACACAAACTCCTGGCTTTCTCAAGGTCATCTTTCCACTGTGATCATTCCTCATTTTGTTCAGAGGATTTTTTCCTGTATTAAGAATGAGAGGCAGTAAAGAGACGGCCCAAGAGATACATTGGTGCCATCCAAATACTAAAAGAGCATCAGAAGACATCCAGTCCATTGGGTACTATGGAGGGTTTGTGGGAAAACATCGACAAGATGTTTGCATAGGATGAAAAAGTAGAGAGGGATTGCAGTTTAAATGGGTGGAAGGGATACCCACAGCAAAAAATCAAGCATCCTCCAAAGTACCAAGTTAATTTATTTTGTTCATCTTTGAAAATTAGGATTACACTCAAGAGTTTCTTACTTCCCACATAGAGCTTAAAGAAAAGATTAAATCAACAGAGTGTATTTGCTCTAGTTCTTTCTTGGAAACAATTATTCTGTGCCTTAGATAATAATAACCTTAGGAATCTTATCTTCATGTTCTGCCCTGGGGAGAGTAGGATTATTTGAAAACCACCAAAGCTGATGTTCAAACTTCCAAGTTCTTTTCTTTTGCCAAGAGATGGATTCTTTTATGATGCATAGTGAAGTAGTTAATAAAGTTTAGCTTCAGGGAACTTGGAATTATAAAAATTGATAAGTAACAAAATTATATTTTCTGGGAGAAAAAAACAGAAAATTGAACATGGGATTTTCTTATAGAAAGACAAATAATAAATTTGGTATAACAATTATTTGCCTACTGAGATCTTCATACTTGCAAAAAAGGTAGTGGTCAAAGAAAGAGATTAAAAAGGAGGCTTATTGTTCACATACATGTATATATGCATATAGGTGTGCAAGAAAAACATCAGCTGAATGGTTGACTATGAAATTATTTGTACCACTTTTATTGAAGTGTACTCATTTTTTCCACCAAGAATTTCCAATTAAAGGGGAAGAATTAAAATAAAATAAGTAATACAATTCAAAGAAGGTCAACTTATAAGACCATTGAGGAGAAAAGATTGGCATTTGTGTGGGCTGATGTATGACACATAGAATCATGGTGAACTTTCCCACTTGAAGACTTGTCATCTAGCTGAAGATTGCTTTTTTTTTCCTTTATAAAAAGGTCATTTGTTCCACTTGTGTGATTAGCCGTGTCACTCCAAAGAGAGAACAAAATACAATTCAAGCCTCTAAGAAGGCACATTAATCATACTCAGGTCAGTGCAATCAGTTAACCCATAGCTTACACCTGGGAAAAGGTAATGCTTACATTCCCATTGTGTAGGAATGGAAATGAAGATATAGCTGAAGCTGACTCACTTCAAGAATCACAAAGTGAGAGATCTGTAAAGGCAGGAACAAATCTCTGAATCCCTGCAGAACTAAGTTGTCTCTGGTCTTCCTCACAGTCTGTGCTTATCCAATCATTCCTGACTTTTCTGTGGATAACAATTCCACCCTGGAAGCAGGTAATATAGGAGTTAATGAAGACATATTGGAAGCTTCAAGGCTCTTTTCATGAACATAAGGTCCCTGAGGGCACCGATGATTGCACTTTTGTCTTTGTATCTACAAGACTTAGCATAGCAGCACAGCACCTGGCGGCATATAACAGGCATTTAATCAACACTTGATGAATGAAAGAATTTCAGCAAAGTCCAATTTCTGATAAAATCCATTTCAAGTTTTTGACTCGAGAAAGAGTGATGAAAATTTTAGCTTCTATGTCTTGAATGTGAAGGATTTTGATTCTCATTCTTCAGAAAAATGAGCTCCTAACTATTCCCCTCTGGGAGGGAAGGGTCAATGAGATTAGTCATTTAAGGCCTAGACAATATCTTTTCTCAAAGAAAGCTAAATGTCCTGAAAGGTAAAAACCAAATTTCCAAATTCCCAGAGAACTAACACCCATCTAATTTTCCAAGGGATTCTGCTTATGCTTTGGGTAGCTTGTAAAAACAAAATACTAGTCAGTCAGTCAAAAATAAGCATTTACCAAACACTACATGCTATACACTGTGTTAAGCACTGTAGATACAAAAAGAGGCAAAATCTGTCCCTGCTGACCTCGTGTTCTAATGAGGAAGATGACAGAAATGTAGAAATGAACACAAATAATGTGGATTGCCAGTAATCTCAGAGAAAAGGTACTAACATTAAGGGACTCTTGGAAATATTTCTTGTAGAAGGTGAATTTTGAGCTGAGACTTGAAGTAAGTCAGAAAAGCCTGGAGGTGAAGACAAGGAGGGAGAAAACCCCAGGGATGAGAGACAGCCAGTGAAAAGGTACGGAGTTGCGAGATTAAACGAGGAACAGCAGAGAGGCCAGTGTCTCTGAATTATAGAGTACATGGAAGGAAGTAAAGCATAAGAAGACAGGAAAGGCAGGAAGGGGCCAGATTTTGAAGGGTTTTAAGAGCCAAAGGATTTTATATTTGACTCTTTAGGTAACAGGGAGCCACTGTAGTTTACTGAGTGGGGTTATGTGAGACCTACACTTTAGGAAGATCACTTTGTCAGGTGAGTGGAAGATAGACTGAAATGAGGAGAGACTTAAGGCATGGAGACCAACCAGAAGGTTATTACAATTGTCTAATCATTAGATGATGATGAAAGTCTCTAACAGGGTGTCAGAGGAAAGAAAGGGGAATATACAAAAGATGTTACGATGTAAAATTGACAGGATTTGACAACAGATGGGATATATACAGTTATAAAGAGTGAGTAGTCAAGGATAACACTGAGGTTTTGAGAACAGGTAACTAGGACAATGGTGGTACCCTTGACAGCAACAGGAAATTTAAAAAGAAAGGAAGGTCTTGGGGGGAAAGATAATGAATGAGTTCAGTTTTAGATACCTCGAGTTTAAGATATCTACATTACATCCTGTTTGAAATGCCCAGTAGGCATATGGAGATGTGAGACTGAAGGTCAAAAAAAAGGTAAGGGCTGGATACTTAGATATTACAATCATCTGCATAGATATGGCAGTTGAATCCATGGGAGTTGTTGATATCACCAAGAGAAACAGTATAGAGGGAGAAGAGAAAAAGTCTCAGCCCTGGGGGATGCCCATCATTAGTGGGAGAGAATATGAAGATCCAGCAAAGGAGACAGAGAAGAAATGGTCAAATAGGTAGAAAGAGAATCAGGACAGAGTAGTGTTACAAAAACCTAGAAGAAAGTATCAAGGAGAAGAGGGTGATCAACAGTGTTAATGGCTGAAGTGAAGTCGAGAAGTGTGAGGAAAGAGAAAATTGACCAATAGATCTGTCAAATAAGAGATCATTGATTATTTTGGAAAAGCCAGTTAAAGTTGAATAAAGAGGTCAAAAGCCAGACTACTGAATGTTAAGATGATAGTAAGAGAAAGGAAAATAGAGACATTTATTGTAGAAAGCCTTCTCAAGGAGTTTGACCATTAAAGGAAGAAATGGATGACAGCTGGCTATGATAAGGTTAGGGGAGACATAGGCATTTTTGTAGACAGCAGGAAAGTAGCCAAGAGGCAATTAGAGATTGAAGATTATTGAGAGAATAAGAACGATAGATGGTGAAATCTGCTGGAGAAAACAAGTTATAATATCATTTGTGCATGAGAATGGGTTAGCATGTGAGACAGAGGTGAAGGAGGAAGGTATCTGAGTGATGTGAGATAAAGATTAGGGGAAAAAGAAGCGTTCACTGAATGGCCTTTTTTTCAGTAAAACATAAGGCAAGTTTCTCATCTGAAAGGGGAGGGGGAGCCATGAGAGGTTGGAGGAGGAATAAAAAGCTTTGAAAAAGCCACCGTGGGGACTGGGATAGTGAGCCAACTGGGGAAGTGCAAAAGGATTGCCCGGCTAGAGTAAGGGGCCAGTTGGAATGATTTAACAAAAATTTGTAGAGGACTCAGTATGAATGGTTTTGTGATTTTCTTCAGCATCATTCAGCATTTGTCACAACATAAGTAGCAAACTCAAGAATATGATTATCGTCCACATTCATCTTTTTACCTGGTCCTGAATTCACACCCTCCTAATCAAATAACACTTTTTCTTTAGTAGATCAATAATTTCCATTTAGGGTTTTATCAGAATCCATGAATTGTTCCTGTATAAGCCAAAAACTGATAAGAACAATAAGATCATTGTGAGAAGAGTGTGAAAGGCATGGACCACCACACATCCAATCCTTCTTCGATGAGTGTGAACCTGAATACTCAACACTACAGACTCCCTTCCCTTCAAACACTTCATAAATTCAGAATACTCTCTTTTTCTTTTGCTGTACCCTTCTCAGTGCCCTGTGAATATTCTGGGGGAGGATGATGATGATGATAATGATGGTAGTGGTGGTGGATGGTAGTGGTGATGATGATGATAACTGACATTTATATAGGACTCTAAGGTTTACAAAATGCTTCATATTCATTGCTTATATGACAGGTGAATGCTATTATTATTCCCCTTCCAGAAATGAAAAAACCGGGGCTCTAGATGAAGGAAGTTTTTATATGGTCTCTCAAGGATGACTAATGACAATATCAGCTTTTGGTGAATTTAACCAACATACCTGAGCCAAGGCAGTCATGTCAGGTGAACTTTTGGTATCTCAAGAGATTACCTCCACTTCCCCTTTGATATATGTCTCTTCAGATATTCCCAGTCAGTGTTCCTCCCCCTCCCCTTCCCACTCCTCCTCACCCACACACCTTGTTTGGTGAATGATGAAGTAAAGAAGATTCATTCCTCCCTCACATCTCTGTCTTCCTGTGTCTCAAGGTGAGCTGGAGATGCAAGTCCACATTCTTTTTTGCCATTCCTTTCTCTGTTGCCTGGGTTACAGAAGAGAAGAGGAAAATCGAACAGAATACCAATAACCAGAAGCACTGCATAAGTTAAATTTGGATGGTTGGCTATTTAACTGATTTTGCTGCAATGACACATAGGTGCCCCACTTTTCCTTTTTCCTTTTTTTCTTTACATTGATCTTGCTTGCTGCCCATCTTCTTATTCACCCTGATTTTTAACGATCCTTTTCAGCTATCTTGTTTTACTAGAATCTCACATCTTTACCCAGCTGGGGCTTTAATGTTTTCTTACTGAGGCTTTTCCTGGGGTACCAAGCATGCCAAGTCTCTATAGCTTGGGTTTCCTTCCCCCATCAATTTTTCTAAGAATTGACTCTCTTGCACTACAACCCCAATGGCAACATTTCAGACTTGCTATGTTTCCTAGGAAGCTGTGATTACTATGGGCACTCCAAGTTCTACATGGCTTGTTACATTCAGACCAGTTTTTGCAGTCACATCATCCAGAGGAATCTCTGAAATGGTTGGTGGCTCAGGAAGCTGTTGCTTTCCTTCAGTTTCTGTATTGTTGTTTTTCCTGGTGATCTCCTGCTTAATCCAAAAAGGCTTTGATAATACTCAAGAATCATATTTTCTTCCTCAGACTTGAACTGATGTCCTAGATATGCCAGAATAATATAACATGTAATTCTTCTTTGGTACAGAGATTTTGCAAAGCTCTGTGTGGAACCTTCCTAAGAAGAACCTTTCATTAGAAGCTATGAAATTGGTGCAGCCTAGTATGCAAATAAGGAAACAATACCATCTGTCCTTTTCCATTACCAAAATAAAATTATCCCTTCTTGGCCTAGGAAACAAAGAAGACAAAATTTGAATAGGTCTTGCCTGCATGACATCCTGCTATAACCAGCAAAAGTTCCCACATACTACAATCAAGAAGCATTTTATAAGTACCTATTATGTGCCATGAACCATGTTAGGCCCTGGAGATACAAAGACAAAAAAAAAAAAACCAACTAAAAAGCTAAAACAGTCCCTACTCTCAAGGAGCTTACATAGTATTGAGGGAGACAATGTGTATATAAATTAGTACAGATAAAATAAATACAATTTTTTTTTTCATTTTAGGTGAAGTAAAGGACTAGCTGCTAACACATATCTGAGCTTGTTGAGAGTGCAATAAGTACTTGTTCTCTGACCAATTAACACTGGGTCATCTTTTCTACACTCAGGGGACTCAAATGCAGGTGCCTATTGTGTGGGAGAAAAATTATGATGGTCTGATCCATGTGATGAACCTAAATATGGTATACAATCACACTGGGATTACATACCTCCACATTGAGAGGTGGCAGTTATCTCAGGACGGATGGTCTCCTCAGCTTGGAAACGAATAAAAAATAAGTATCCTGAGAATGACCTTGTCCAAAGCTATTATTGTTCTTGAGGAGGGGGAGCAGAGAGAAGCTTTTTGCAGACATTAGAAGAAAAGGAAAAACGTAGCATACGTTTGACTAGTAAATTTACAGAACTACAAATGGCTATTCTTCAAATAAACCTATTAACTCAACATGAAAGCAAAAAGCATTATACTACACTTACATAAAAGTTTATTCCATTTAGGAAAAGAGTGTTCCAGAATGAAGGGTGTATTTGCATTTTCAGTAGACTATAAATAACAACAACAACAACTGCAACAACAAAAACAACACAAGTGAGAATACTGGCCTGATCTTAGCCTCCATTGTATAAGCAGAAATGCATATACCAGCAGCACCTCCACCAAGAGTTGCTTCTGCTCTGGGGGCACATATTTCCCAGAGCTAATGTCTCTACTTGGCATTCCCTTTCGTGCTTCCCTACCCCTACATGACCTGACAATGAGAATCTGGTGCTGAATGATTTGGCTACTGTCTTAATGATGCAATGTTGGTCAAAGCCAACAACTGACTCCTCATGGTAATCATTCATTCGAGATACACTCTTCCTCCACTCTCCTTTCTGGCTTGTGGAGAATATAGTGTCCATTTTCCTGAGGCCTCCAGTCATACTATTGCCACTCAGGATATCTTCTCATTCCTTCCTCATTCCATTCTCATTGGAAAATTGGACTCCACTTTTAGAATTATTCTTGGCTTTGTTCTTGTCTGTTCAATTCCCAGCCTCCACAACACTGCCTAGACATCCCCATCCACGCCTACTAAGAATGTATCCCTTCCAAAATAACCTGTTTTCCTATTCTTCCCAAGATCCTTGAGGAAAAGGATGATATACCATACTTTCATTTGTATCCCCAGCACTTAGCCAGACACTGCTCTCTCTCTCTCTCTCTCTTTCTCTCCTCTGAAATGATAGCTCATTTACCCACATGCTGCCACAAGTAAAATTCAATAAAGGTAGACTGAAGCATGTATTCTCCAAGTAAGATGACAGTTTATTAGCAGGACGCAAACCTGTTAATAAAATGGGCTTAATGACTGCCTCAGTTAGCCAAAAGATCTCAAATTGAAGACACAGCTCCCTTTTATTTTATTTTTAAGCTCCTTTTTATAAGATTAGAACAAAGTATTTTACAAATAGTATCTCATTTTATTGGGGCAGCTAGGTGGTGCAGTGGATAGAGCACCCAGCCTGGAGTCAGGAAGACTCATCTGTGGCCACAAGCCACACACACAAGCCACCTAAACCAGATTAAAATGTAATGGGGAAATGTTTGACAAAATAAATTAAAATGTTAATTTGTGACTAAGTCAGTATGCCACAAGCATCTACTTCCATTTGAGTCTGACACCACTAAGGAAGGAGGGATTAGGAAAGGCTTTGAGCTTTGAGGGTTCCAAGCTTAGGAGTTCAGAGAGGCAGCCTTTAGAAAGGAAAGCATTCCAGATGTATGGCACAGCTTATGCAAAGGTCCAGAGATAGGCCTGGGTACAGGGAACAGCAGAAGGACCAGGTGAGTTGGAATGTAGGAGGTGTGAGGAGTTGAGATACGAAATTGTTCTAGAAAGAGAGATGGGCATCAGGTTGTGAAGGATCATTCCAACTAGAGACAGTTTTGAGTTTATCCAAGAGACAATAATGGGGCACTGGTTTCTTAAAGAGGGAAGTGGCATGGTTAAACTTGTGCCTTAGCAATATCATATGTGATAAGCGTCATAAGATAGGTACAAAATGCTACAGGAGTTCAGAAGCGAGAGAGAGAATTCCCAGCTTGGGTGATCAAGGTTGGTTTCATGGAAGAAGTGGCATTTGAGAAGGATTCTGAAGGACACGCACAATTTCAACAATTTGAGATGACAGAAAAGGGCATTCTAGGTAGAAGTACACACATAATCAAAGATAAAGAAGTGAGAAAAGGTAAAGCATGGAGAACATTGAGTAGAACAGCTTGGCCTGGAGAATCTATAAGGAGAGATGAAGCTGGAAAGCTAAATTAAGGACAGAATCCAAAGCATCTTGAGGAGTTTGGACTTCATCTGATGGAGAATGAAGAGGCTCTAAGCCTGGCTGCAATGCAACCTTGTTGCCTTGAAGGGTCAGCTATACAGAAGACAGCAAAGCCAGTAAGCCAATGGAGAAGGGAGCAGCTACAATCATTTGGATAACCCCTAGTTTTCCCTTCCCCTGGTATTTTGTGTGCTCACTGCTGTCATATCCATTCCTTTCCCTGATCCCAAATCATAGATCTCAGGCTGGAAGGAACTTCAAAATCCATCTAATGAAACTCCCTCATTTTGATAAAGAAACAGATTTGGGGGAGGTTAAAATGATTTTTCTAAGGACACATAACTTGTAAGAATCTGAGATGGATTTTGGACCCAAGGACCTCTGACTTTAAAGCTAGTACTCTTTTCATTGTACCAAGATCTCTCCTAAGGTAATCTTCAAACCCACTCAGAAAGAGCAGATCAATCTCTTAAAAATGCGAGTCAGTGATGACCCAGAAATTCAGACACAGCATGGGCTAGACATCTGCTATTAGCAAACTGAGACTCTGCCTCATCTCTTCAGGCCCCTGTTGAAGGGACCTTATTCCACCCAGAGAAAGGATCAGAATAGCTGTTAATCAAACACCTATCATGTTTCACAAATACCTGTGTAGGAAAAAGGGAACTTATTCTAGAAGTGGCTTGGGTAATGTGGCTTCTGAGAGCTAGGGTTAAACAAGGATTGATACAAATGGCTAAAACGCTGAAAGGGGACATAATGCGGGAAGCAGTCAAACTAGCATTGGAGAAGGCATTGAGTGATCTGGGTTCAGTTTTTTATTTAATTTCATTTTTAAGATTGTCAACTCCTAAGCAGTCAGCACAGCTGACAGAAATACTGTTCTTTGTCATGAAATAATTATTATTATTTTATCCCTCAAGGAAGTCTTGCTGAAAATTCTCCAATAGCTTAGAACATTCTTTTTTGAAAATGGACCATTGTACATTTATATAAGCAGAGACCAGATGGAAGTGTGTGTGTACGGACTTTAAAAGATATATATGTATGTGTATACATGTATACATACACATACACATGTGCATACACATGCATACATATATACATATATGCATTTTACACACACACACACACACACACACACACACACACATAAAATTTTTTGAGCTTCACAACAACCCTAGATAAAAGGCAATGCAAGTTGATAGTTGGAGAAACTGAGTTCCAGCATGGTTAACAGTGACTTTTTGAAGGTCATGCAATAAGCTAGTGACAGGATTAGCACTAGAAGACAGACCTCCTGACTCAGTCCAGTGCATTTTCCACTCATCTCCCCCTTGTGTATCTGTGGGATCAATACAGCAGACCTCATTACATAGGATTCCATTCACCTAGCAGTTATTGATTCCCTACAAGGTGCAAGGAACTAAAATTGAGATACAAATGGAAACATGAGATAAAACTGAAAGATCAAAAGATAGAGCATGAAGGAATTGAGACTTTGTACTGCATCTGAAAGAAAAAAAAAACATTGATTTCAAAAATCCATTTGTGAGGTTACCTTTAAAGTCCTTTTT